CCCCGTCAACACATACCGAATCAGTGTGCCACACGCCCCGCCCGCCTTTGCCCGCAATGTTCTCGTGCACCCGCACGCCGCCGGTACGCGCACGTAACGGCGGCTACATCGCTACACACTCTGTATCGGCCTACGGCTGGAGCAGCGCGAAGCACACACGTCGCATGCCGACGGGGTCGTACACCACGCAACCCACGCAAACGCATGCACGCAGCGGTCGTGAACCGTCGACACATGCGCATCGCATCGTGAACTTAACGCGCATGCACGCGACTGTAGATGACTACTCGTGCATTACTCTGCGAGAGCACGCGGTTGCTAGACGCAAAGCAACACCAACACCAGCTACGTCCACATTCGCAATGGTGCACACGTAAGGGCAGCGGACTTAAAAAGGAATCTTTCACACGCATAACGGAGTAGGCACGCCCCAACTAGGTTTAGCGCATGCATGTTTATGGCTGCAGGACGCGAACGAGTAACGTGCACACGCCGTATAAACGCAGACGCGGACACGAAATGTTGGGCTGTCGAGACACGGTGCACACGCACGCCCACTGTTGGGACGTGCACTACGCACGCAAATTTCGTACTGTTGGTCAGAAAATACTAGCAGCCATGGGAACCTACGCAGCTGGGTCATTGGCATCTGTGTGACTGCAATCCTAGGTATGAAATCCTCACGCCAGCCAAGCAGAGCAATAAACCGCGACGTGCACGTTTACCACGCGCTGTTCCTTTGAATCATTTAACGCACGACAACGCCTATGTCTACTGGCATTGTTGATCCACTGGCATGGTGTACGTACAGGGGCAGAATTCTGGAATCTTCCCCTATATGGGCATGAACGATACGTAAACAGTCTGTGCAACCCAACGTGGGGTACTGTCGACAGACGCAGGCAACCTTTGTTGGGCCGAAGGCATGCCATAACGATTTTCTGGAGACTAATTTCACAAAGTGTATACGTGCGCCTGACTCGAACGCTGATAGCTACTTGTTAATATCTATCCCGGGCAGCACAGGCACAATTTTTTTAGCACAAGCCTTATACAATTATGTTGAGTCTCACGCGTACGCGAAACTTACTGGTTGGCACCCGCGCACCAATTGGTATCTGGTGCGCGGATCCTTACTTCGCTACCGTGGACCACTCCGCAGATCCAAGCTTGCGTATTTTCTAGCCACTCCGCGGTATTAACGGCTGCACGCCGCGCGGTTTGCGTGGTTGGTCCCAGAAGAAGAGCAACACTACGCAGAGGGTCGGACCGCAGGGCGTGGTTGCACATCGGGCGGCGTCAGCGAAAGGTCGTGACGGGGATGGTAGACGTCAGGTGTTGAGGCTAGCTTCACCAGCAGCCACGGTCACTTGCGGAGGCTTACATCTCAGAGTACAGGGTAAAGCGGCCGTTATCCGCATGCCCGTCTGTGTTTATGAGTTTTACGATCACATTTGCCTACACCACAGGTATAGGGTAAGGGCCGAGTATCACAGCGATGACAACAGCCTGTGTACTAGTCACTTGTCCTGCCAAAAGTCTCTCGGCAACGCTCATAAGGGTTACAGGCCTCGGCGCCGCTAATCACAACGCGAGCATGGCAGCCGGCTCTACAGGTGTGTATAAGTTTAAACGCATACAGTCAAGAGTATGCGGTTAGATGGCGCGATGCGCACGCTGACCGTCGTATGGTACGTATGCAGCATTACGACAACCCTGTTGTGATGGCACGCCTAATCGCGACGCGATCGACACTGTCGTGAGCGTGTAGCGTATTAGCGAGTGCTACGGAGTCAGCGCTGTCAAGTTGCCATGTAATGGTAGCGCACCGCGTGGTTCCGGGTGGTGTGGTGGGGCGGTGGGGCGGGGGGGGTCGGGGGGGTGTGGGGTGTTCTGCGTCAGACAAAGAACGTCATCTGGGCATTAAATCGTGCAAATTAGTATGAACTTCATCGGTGTCGATGATTGTCTTCGGGTATTTTCACATTAACTTTCCAATTTTTCGTATTGGCAGTGAATTTTATGAATGTTTGTTCGCAGTTCCTGTCGGGTTGCGCAATTACTAATTATCCAGTATTATAGTCTTACGTAATATTCTCAAACACGTCTCTCGACTTTTACCTACGTTTATTAAGGGGACGTAGTCAGCGGAATTTGTTAGGTAAAATTGTAAAATGTTCTGTTGCATTTTTTACATTAAAATTTAAGAACTAACGGACTAAGAACGTATGCGTCAAATTCTTGACGCTGATGAGAATTGTTTCTGCAACTAGTTAAAGAAAACGCGCAAAAAACCTGGACGATTTGATGATTTGTCTTCTGACTATTAATTGCTATGGGCTATGTATGAGTTCACGGAGTGTATGATTCAAATCGCATTGCAAGATTGGCAAATTAACCATAAAAAGGAGACCAACAAGTAATTATAATTCGTTGTGAAAAGAAACGTGGACATAATATTGCTATTATTTGTGTTTAGCTATTTACGGTGACGTGAAGTCAGCTTTAAGGGAAACCTTATAAATCGGTAAGGGTAATATATGTTTTCAATATTCTTACGGCAGAACTCGCATAACAGAACCAATGCCGTAGTTTCTTCGCCTAAAATATCCCCAAGTCAGTTCTCGTACGAGCGACGACACCTAGCTGCGCGCGTTTCATCGAAGAACACGGCGGCATGCGTCGCTTGGCAGTTCCGGGCCGACGATACGTCTCGCGTGACGTTCAATCGCCGGTGAGACGGGTGCTGCAAGCCGCGGGCGTCGCCCGAACGTCTTAGCGTTTGCGCGTGCACTGGGGCCGGAGCCGCAGCGGCCGACGGCGGCGATCACAGTGGATCGTCCCGCGTCGGCACTGCAGCGAGCAAACGCTACCCGAGTACGTCGATACCGGCGTCGTCGGTCCGAGCGTTGATAGTGACGTGACGGCGCAGCGTGATGGACGACTGTGGGCCGCTGGATGCTGCGTCGCCGCAACGGCTGCTGGGCTGCGCCAACAGCTGCGACGGAGCTGTTCGTAGGAAGGTGCGCTCACGTTTGCGCTCACGTTTGGCGTCGGTGTAACTTTGCCACGAGTCAGTGGTACGGTTACGTGAGTAGGTCGGTGTGTGCAGCGGTGCGGGCGTGCAAGTGAGTGGCAGTCAGGAAATAGGTGTGGTGCGCGGATGTATTTGTGGTCGCGTTTTGCACGTCAGGTGCTTTATTGGGTTAGTGTGGGGCTGCGTCAATGGTGTGTGTGCAGTGTGTGGTGTGCGGGTCAGTGTGTGAGTGCGGCGAGGACTGCAGCGTGTTAATTCTTCTGCTTAGTGTTTGTGGCGTTCAATGTGTTTGCGTCATGTGTTGCGGTCCAGTGCGTCAGGGTATCCGCGTCACTGTGCTCGCGTCGGCGAGCTCCGGAATGTTCTTCTCCATGGATGCTAGAATCACTTGTTGAGCGAGAGAGTACAGGCGATCGATCTATCCTTTGACGTTTGATTTCTAATGATCCTTCTGTCATTGATTTTCTGATTTCTATTGGATCTTCTATCATTGATGTTAGATTATCTTAATTGATTTCTATGCATCGATGTTTTCCGCAGCGCAGTGCATCTATAGTCAACGTGTGACGGCATCGGAAGCGTGGTGACGTTATAGTCGATACACTGCTACGTGCCGTCGCACTCTGGCGACCGACACCAACGGTGATGTAACGGCGGCAGAAATGACGTCGCATTTGCCAACGTTCCAGAGCATACCGGGTATTATCAGTCTCTCCCCCATCTTCTCGTCTCTTCCTTCAGATCTTCTTTCTTGCTTTCTACGGCCATTTTTCTCTATCATGTCTCTGTCTTGCTCTCTTTTTTCACTCTCCGCTCTTTCTCTCGCTCGTCTCTGACTTTCTCTAGTCTCTCGCTTCACTCTTTTGTCTTTCTTCTGCTCTCACTCTTGCTTTTCCATCGGCGTTCCATCTGTCAATCTTTCTCTCGCACTTTTTTGCTTTATCTCAGATACCAGCCAATCTCTGCCTATAAATAGTCAATATGTCTAAGATCAGATAGAGATGCTGCTTATGAGTTCTCAACAGGTATGGTATTCGGCACGTGCTCGCATCTAACAAAAACGCTACCGGTTGTCGGTGGTAGTCAATGTATAGATGCAAAATTCATCGGTTATCTGTTCCATGTGGGCTAAGATCAGGATCACCAGGGGGATTTGTGGCCAACACACAATGGGGCACCGCACCACGGCAGGCGGGACACGCACGACGGGACGACACGCACACTCCCCCCGCCACACGTACACACTCAGTCGCGGCGTCTGGGGCAAGCACGTACACACCCCACGGCGACAAATAGGTGGTGGGTACCCATATCCTCATGAGTTTGGTTCTCCTACCATCACCAGCTGCTCAATTTTGGGCAGGTCACAGTGGGTGTCGTACGACGGGCGACGTGACGCCTAGATGGGCGCTGAACATCACCGGCAGTTGACGTGTAACAGGCTGGTGTGGCAGAGAACGGAGCGCGGGCAGCGCTCGGCCGGCAGCTGAGATGGCCCGCCGAGGGCCTGCCACTCGGCCCTACGTCACGCGGGTACGTGACGTCACACTGAGCGTGCTGGCTCATGTGGGAGGACGGAGAACGACTCTAAGCGAGCCTCTTGCCCGTCACCACCTACACGGATTCAGCTTCAGGTATGACCGCCACACTCACCACGCACACGAACACTACACGATCAACTAAGGTATGACCGGCCACTCACACGCAGAGCAGGACACCTACAGCACTAGCACGATCCCAGCTACAGGTATGACCGCCACCTTACACACAGCATACACTAAACGATCCACCTACGGTATGTCCGCCACCTTCCCACACACGGCCACCACACACACTACACGATCGCAGGCTACAGTATGAACCGCCACTGTCACACTACTCGATGCACCACACACAGCGGTCCGGAGCCTAAACACGATCCAGCAGCCGGTATGTGGGTATGACCGCCCCTCCACAGCACGACGACAACAAACTACCCGAACCCAGCTACAGGTATGAACCGCCACCTCACCACCATCGCCACAGCCACACCCAGCCACACACACACACACACACAGTCACACACAAGCTGGGCACACACTCACAGCACACTACACCGATCCAGCTACAGGTATGACCGCCAGACCTTCACACACGACATTTCCTGACCGATGCCAGCTATACAGGTATGACGCCACCTTCTAAAAACACACTACAGCGATCCACGCTACAGGTATGTGACGCCACTTCACACACATACACACACACACAGCTACACGATCCAGGTTAACAGGTTATGACCGCCACCTCACACACCACACACACACACCACACTATCACGATCCATGTCTACAGTATGACCGCCAACCTTCACAACAGCACAGGTGAGGACGCCGACCAGGGGCCGGGCCGGGCGCGCCCACACATACCCATCGGGCCGGACAGCTGGGCATCACTACAGACACAGCACACACAGGCCGCACACACAGTGGCGACACGCACACACCCACACACACTCAGGCGGATCAGGCTTATTAAGGTATGACCGCGCAGACCTCAACACAGCCCACAGTCACGATCATCAGCTACAGGTATGACGGCACCTCTGACTCACGGCACACTAGTGTACGACGATCCAGCAGCAGGTTATGCCGCCACCTCAGCACCGACACACACTACCACACAGTCACACACACACACACCACCGCCCCGGGCTGGGCGCACACGCGCGGCGGTGCGGCGACCACAGCAAACAGCCGCACAGCCAACTGCACGACACACAACAACCATACACAGTGGCACAGCCGTCACACTGCACACACGAGGGCACGGCGCACGGGCGCGCGACGGGACGCAGACACACACAGCACATACACGCACACTACAGGCAGCGGCGTGCGGGCACGGGGCCGTGGAGCTGGGGCGGCAACACGCACACGGCACGACGCAGACCCACACGCGCCCGCCACGGGACGCAGCACGCCACGGCGCACGCACGCGCACGCGCACAGCAGCGACGGCGCACGGGACGAACGCAGCACGCACGGGCCGACACAGCCAACGCACCCGAGCAGGTCACACACAGGTGGATCACACACACACTCCACACATACACAACACACCATATATATAATATATATATATATATATATATATATATATATAAGTGTATAGGTGTAGTAGGAGTTTGCTGATGCAAGACGACGCAACTATTTACAGCTGTCATCATATATAACCAACGTTGATTTACGCTATGCATCCGGGTCACTCTACCGAGCATGGGAATGGTAACATGTGCTCTTTGAAGCGCATTTACTTCACGAATAAATCACTTTAAGTACATATATAAACTGCCAATTGCGCATAGTTTTGTCGTTTATTGTAATTTCGTGTGTGATTGATGGAATGGGATATTCAACAACAACTTTGGGAAATACAATTACGCTTATATACTGATGACGTAATGTATAAAACGTAGGAACTACTCCTGGCGGCAATATTAAGACATCGGTAAAACTGTAAAAGTCACTGAAAGAAACAACACCTGGTTCTCTGTGTGTCAGGTTCTTTATTTCTTTACCTCTCATAGAATTTGTCGTATTCGTTCGTCATTCGTCGCATTTCAATTAGCATCGCATGAAGCGATGCAATGGAATACAATCCTCACGCGATACATTACGATAGGTTATGATGTGTGTACGCATCCGTACAGTGACGTGGTAAGACTGTTACGCAGAACAAAAAGCAAAGATGTTGCTATAAGAGTGTAATACAACACTACTCGGGTGTGCAATAATTATTTATATTGATAAGCGAGATGAGTACCACGCCCTTGTATATTGTTGCAGTGTTGGTCACGCTCATTGCGTTCTTTTTACGCGCGAACTGCAAAATGCCGACCTAGCGGCACTTCGTCACCAAGCGTATTTTTTAGATCGTCATGTATCGAAACTGGTTGGCTAGATCTGCCAATTAATCAGACCAGGCAGGAATGTTAATTAAATGCGCGTAACAACCTTAGTAGCGGCAATAATGAACGCGGCCTTGAAATAAATAAATATGTGAACAATAATAAATAAATAAATAAAGATAATGAATAAGGCTGAAGCGGTAGCGCAGGAAATGCTGCGGTAAGACACCTATGGCTCCCCTTACCGGCGGGCCTCCATCATTATCATGTCCGCCATCGTGACGCAATTGTTTTCCCGCCGCTGTTGGATGTTCCCATGTATTCTTCTTCTTTTTCCTGTTTCTTTTTTCTTCTTCATCATCATCTGCAATTCTCTTTTCATATTTCTTCTTCTTCTTCTTTCTCCTATTCTTCTTCTTCTTCTTCTTCTTCTTCTTCTTCTTCTTCTTCTTCTTCTTCTTCTTCTTCTTCTTCTTCCTCTTCTTCTTCTCCTTCTTCTTTTGTTTCTTCTACTACTACTACTACTACTACTACTACTACTACTACTACTACTACTACTACTACTACTACTACCACTACTACTACTACTACTACTACTACTACTACTACTACTACTACTACTACTACTACCACTACTACTACTACTACTACTACTACTACACTCTTATCCCCCTTCTCCTTCTTTTTATCTTATTTTTCTTCTTCTTTCTCTTCTTCTTCTTCTTTCTTCTAATCTTCTTATTCTACTAGTCTTCTTCTTATTATACGACTACTACTATTACTACTACTACTACTACTTTTCATCCCCCTCCTCTTCCTGTTCTGTCTTCTGACAGCTTCAGTCTTCTTCTCTCTGCCGCAGATCGGCGACTCGGCGACATGGCGCCAGTTGAACCGCACCGTGCATCGG